TTTTATAAAAAACCCCCCCCCCCCCCCCCCCCCACTATTTAAGCATTGACTATAGTCATTCAACATTACAGTGTAATTAAGAGCTATCTAACTCTCAAGCTAACTTCTAATTTAAGTGAACTTAAATCAATCTTCACATAAACCCATTATAATAAATGTCATATTTACCTGTGCCCTTCAGCAGAAATATACAGAAATTGAAACTGAAGTTATCAAACACTAAATTATAAATTAAACATAGATGAATCCTTAAAGCTATTAAAGTGATTGATTTCCTCATTTTTCTTTTGTTCTTTGATGAACAGACATCACAGCAGCTGGTATTTGGTATTTTTAACACGCTAATTTTTACACCACTATTATAAATATATATATATATACACACTTTATTTATTTCAAATTTATACCACAAATTAATTTACATTCTACATTAGATGAGTATTGCATGAACACCTGCTCTGATCATGTCCAGAGTTGTGATGAAGTCTGTACCTGATGCTCAGTGACAAAGCTGATTCTAGAGGAAGTGTGTATGGTAACAGGATGGCAGATGCCATTCTAACGGGCAGCATGTTGCTTAGCGACTGCAACAGACTCTGCCTCTCCCTACAGGCCTCCACCAGTGCTGAAGAGAGAACAACAATCACACAGTGAACATCTGACACATTACAACGCTGCTTCAGTGAATACCAGACTAGTTAACATAGTCCTGCTATCTGTCAGTACCTTTATGTACTCTAGGAGGCAAGTGTTCAAAGATGCGCTCCTCAATGCTGGAGAGATCCTGTGTTTCTCCGTCATCTCTGTTCTCTGACTCTTCATCATCCTCACTGTCAGACTCTTCCTCAGCCTCTCCACCAGCTACGGCCAGCATACGGTGTGGACCTCGATACTGTAACAGACCTGAAACACACATACGCACAGTGAGGAAGAGAGCTGAGATCACTCTTAAAGCGGTGGTTCACACAAAAATGAGTTCCAAGATCTACTTGGAAAACAACACACAATTTGTGTGGACGACTTCTATTGGGTTTTTATGGCACTTTATGTCATTTATTGAGCTTAAGAGTTGTGAAAGTAGAGGAACATTCTACTAAATGAGTTATGCTTTTTGTCAAACATTTGCATAATGTTATTTAGAAAAAAATAACATTTATTTGTGTGTGTGTTTGTATAAAATAATAATAATAATAAATAAAAAATAATATTTACATATAATTATAAATTAATGAGAAATAAATAAAATATAAATTATATATTTTACTATATATATATATATATATATATATATATATATATATATATATATATATATATATATATATATATATATATATATATTTATAGTATATGCACATAAGTACAATATATTTAATTACATATTTAATATTTTTCTTATAGTATTATGTTTGATATTATTTTGTATATTTTTATATTTATATTTATTTATTTTGAAAAAACATATATACTATTATATTTTCAAAATGATGTGTATAAATTACATTTATAAATATTGAATTAAAAATGTCTAAAAATACACACACACACACACATACATACATATATATAAATATATACATATACATATACACATACACATACACATATATACATATATTTATAATCTTTAATATCAGTTTTGGTCACTAGAGGTCTCTCTAACACCAGTGAAACTCTTCAGCATCAGCCCGACTATCTGCTTCACTACAGCAGTGATAAAAAAAAAAGAAATCTTCAGCAGCACAGCAGCAATAACTGCAATATCTGCCCATATATATATACACAAATCTGATCACTGAAACATTTACGAATGACTCACCGTTCTTCTTCAGGAAGTGTAAAGCATCTCTGTATCCTTGCTTGCACATGTTCTTCATCACCTGAGGAGGAGGAGAGCAGGCAGTGTGTATTTTCAGGTTGTTTGAACAGGGACAGTGTGAACAGGTGTGTGTGTGTGTGTGTGTTACCAGCGGGTCGGTTGGAAACAGCGCTCTGGAGACTCTGTACAGGTTGGCCAGTGTGAACTGAATGGAGGTGTTGGTGAAGCGCAGCTCATGAATGTTGGTTGAGCTGATGTCTCGCGGGCAGATGTCGCTTTCTCCTGAGAACGGAGACACTGTGATGGTGTTTTTCAGCTCGTACTGAGGCAAATTATCACTGATGCCACCGTCCACGTACCGCTGAGAAACAAGACACAGAGACCGTCTTATTTTCATCTTTATACTTTGAAATGAATTATTTCATTAATGCTATTTTCCTCAATGTGTTTCTTGAGAGTCACTTGTTTGTTTGATTTTTAATATTACTTGTTCACTCTAGTTGCACAGTAGTTGCCTAGCAACCTATATATAGAAACATATTTATAAAATGATATGTACATATTTTGCAGATAACTAATCTATTTAACAAAAATGAATAAATTAAGTAGATAATTAAATGCTATTAATTTAATTTGTGTATTTTTGCTAAAATTACTTGTTTATTCATTTTTAAATATTTTGCTTTGTTTACTCTATAATTTAATTTAATTGCTGTGTAGCTGATTAAACAAAACAATCTATTTAACAAAAATGAATACATTTAGAAGATAATTAAACAGTAATATTTTAATTTAATGTGTATTTTTTGTTAATATTACTTGTTTATTATTATTCATTTTTGTTAAATACATTTGCTTTCATTTCATTTCATTGCCGAGTGTAGCTAACTAAACAAAACAATCTATTTAACAAAAAGGTATGTAATTAAGAAATAATTAAGCATACTTCATTTCATTTCATCTTTTTTCATATTAAGTGTTTATTGTTGTTTATTTATTTTGTTAAATACATTGTTTAGTTTACTATCCACATTTCATTTAAACTTTAATTTAATACTGAATTCATTTTTTCCCATTATTTTATTATTTAACAAAAATGCATAGATTATAGAGATAATTAAACAGTAATAATTTAATTCAATTTGTGTATTTTTGTTAATATTAGTTGTTTATTATTGTTCATTCATTCTGTTAAATACATTTTTTAGTTTACTGTTGACATTTAATTTAATTGCAGAGTGCAGCTAACTAAAATAAATAAATAAAAGTAACAAAAATAAATATATAACTATTTAAATAAATTAGGAAGATAATGAAACATTATTCATTTCATTTAATGTTTTGTTCATTTTTGCTAATATCACTTATTTATGAAGTAGTTGTCCATTGATTTTTCTGATTTGTCTTAATTTCTCACTCTATGCAAACACTAGACAGAACATCGAAGCATTAAGATAGACTGGGGTGGCATGTGATGTTTTACTGCAGTGTAACAGGCAGAACAGCAGAAAGAACAGCAGCTGTCAGAGCGCTGGCAGGTCTAGTGAGATTTGCTGCAACAAACACACACACGCATGATTTGGGCTTCTTGTCACAGTAATCCCAACCTACACACACACACACACACACACACTGCCTCACTCACTGGCACAGGCGAGCCGCGTGCCAAATGAGCAAACACTGACTTATGAACACCAGCTCACTGATCTTCCTGATCTGACATCAGCTTCACCTTTTACCTCTCAATGACTAACAGCACTTCAACGCTCTGACTCTTTTCTTCCGGCTGCACAACACAATAACAACCATTAACAAACATAAAAATGAGTGGAAAGAGAATGAGTAAACCTCAAAAAAAAAAGAGAGGAAAAAAATGAAATTATATTTTGCATAAAGAAATTGAAGCTTTTTCATTGTGACATTATTTTCGTGATAATTAACCACATTTTCCCCCTCAAATTTTCATTACAGTAATGTAAGAATAAAAGAATGATACATTATTCAAATGTAAAAAAATATTCAATTTGAATGAAAATAACGTGACAATGTTTACGATAATTAACTACATTTTTCTCTCAAATTCCCATTACTGTAATGTGAGAGATTTTTTTTTTTAATTTTTAATTAAAATAACGTCATTATCTTCTTGATAATTAACCACATTTCTCTCATATTCTCATTACTTCAATGCCAGAAAAAAATGATACATTATTTAAATTGAAAAAATATTATTTTAATTAAAATAATGTCATTATTTTCTTGATAATTAACCACATTTCCCTCAAATTCTCATTACTGCAATGTGAGAAAAAAAATTATGACGCCTGTTTTAAACTGTAAAGTATTTAATTTTATTGAACATAATGTTGTGACATTGTTTTTTAAATCATAATTAACCACATTTCCCCACAAATCCTCCTCACTGTAATGCAAAAAATTACACAAATAATACATTATGATAAATAATGCCACAATGCAAAAAAAATCTAATGGCTCTAAAAAAAACAGGCTTAATTTTCCTTAAGCATTTTTTTTTCATTATTATTATTATTTACAAATGAATAGAAAGTAGAAAAACTAAACACTAAGATGCTTAAAAATACACAAACAATACAAGATTCAAGGACAATCCCAAGAACTAGAGCAAAGATCAGAAAACTGTCAGCGGTCACTGAACCGACTAGTGGGCAGATGAGAGAGAGAACTCATGCTTTTACATCAAAAAAACCATTTCTCCTGGCACAACAGCTGAATCCAAATCAACACAACAGCTTTCTCTACAAAAGCATCAATGAATACAGAAGGCCTGCATTTCTCAACAACACACAACTTTTTAAAACCAGAACAGAAGTCATGCTTGCGCAAGCTTTCACAGCCTTTTTGCAACGTTTTGGAGTTCCGCTCTAATTTAGTGGTGTGTCTATATCGAACATCACCACCACTCATATTGAGTGAGTGATTTAAACAAACCGGAACACTTTACAATGGTTCCATTAGTTAATGCATTCAATAACATGAATGAACAATACATTACATTATTTATTCATCTTTGTTCATGTTAGTTAATGAAAATATAGTCGTTCATTGTTAGTTCACAGTGCATTAACTAATGTTAACAAGCACAACTTCTGATTTTAATAATGCATTAAATTAGTACATGTTGAAATGAACATGAACTAAGATGAATAAATGTAGCAGAAGTATTGTTCATGCTTAGATCATGTTAACTACAGGAGTTAACTCATGTTAACTAATGAACCTTATTGTAAAGTGTTACCATTCAACCTCCTAACAATAAGTAATAAACTCATCCTACATCACTCATTCAATAAATAAGCATTCATTAATTAATTAATTAATTTAATTGAAATTGTTTAGTCGACCAGCAGCACCAAATTTGGTGAGATTTGTAACAAGCACATGACTTGATGAAATGAAAGTGAGCACAGAAGGACAATCATATTGCAGTTGTAAATGAATTATGAGTAATTATATGGTGACTGGATACTTACCACTCCCTGCAGGGTTGGAGGGATCAGGCCACAGTACACGGGAATGTAAGCACTGCATACACACGCCTGTACACACACACACACACACAATAAGCACACAAGGGATTTGGACATGAAACCATAACACCGTGTGATTTAAATCATGTGCATTTTCTGTAAATATCACGAATCCAGGACTGTTTACAGCTGGGTATTAGAAGGTCATGTGAGTTGATTCTCACTAAACCTACTGCATGTTTTATTATGCATTTATAGCTTTACTGAATATGTGTGTTGTGTTTGAGCGCAAGTACGCACTTGCACGAGTTCCTCATTGCTGTTGAAGTGTGTCACCAGCACGTTTTCTCCGTCCGTCACGCGGGTCAGAGAGATGCCCAGGCGGCCGGTGGCCCGGCTGTGGCTGTCGGGCGGCAGCACGCGGTGCATCACAGTCCGCATGATCTTCACCAGGTTGAAGGAGGGGTGCATGGGGCCTAGGAAACGCTTTCGGGCTTCTTTAGCCACGTCAATGATGCCGGCACCCGCCTCTCCTGTCACAGGACCAGAAAGAGAGCAGTTAGCGATCGCACACTGGCAATAAGCAACAGGTGGATCTTGTGCCATTGCACACGAGAAGTGTAATCTTTGACATAGATACTAAATATAGATGCACACAGACAAGATGATAACACCATGGTATTGAGGGACTAGTGTATTCATATGCGCATGGTACTCTTAAAAAAATACCTGGGTATCAGTGTTATTTTAGTTTAATTTAGATATTATTATAGCTTTTACTTTAATATTTTTTTTTGTTATCATTAAAATTTTCGTTAAAGTTTTAGCCATTTTGTCGCGAGTCATTACTCGTTTTTTTTATTTGAGTCTATATGGTTTTTATTTATTTTTTCGTTCTTTTAAATGAAATGAAATGTTGCCTTTGCAACTAGCTGAAATCAAATTCATTTATAGTATATTTTTAAGCATACTTTCTAGATTTGATTTCCCATAAAGTTGATTCTATTCAGTAATGAAAATACAGGTTTTAAATGAGTCTATATAGTTTTTATTCATTTTTATTTATTTGTTGGCCATTTTAAATGAAATGAAATGTTGCCTTTGCAACTAGCTGAAATAAAATTCATTTATAGTATATTTTAAGTATACTTTTTAGATTTGATTTGATTTGACGTAAAGTTTATTTTATTCAGTAATGAAAATACAGTTGCATACCTCATTTTTAGCATGGTAAATATCCATAAACATGCCATTATACACTGCAAAATCTTTGTTGTTGTTGTAATTAAAACAAAGATTATTGGAGTATGATTTACAAGACAATACAATTTCAGTCTTTCTACTTCAATATTTCATGTTTCTCTGTAATTATTTAAATTTACCAGCAATTTCTGTGTGAAAATAGTTTTTCCAGTGTACCACAAAACACTGTAGCGGTACTATGGTAGAGTGATATTAGAACACGGTGATACTATAGTATTTTAAAATACATCATGGCACTAAAAAACTAATTTTTTTGGAAGGTAAACTTTATTACCATGGCACCTGTACTTCCTCTCGTGAATATTTGTGACCCTGGAGCACAAAACCAGTCATAAACAGCACAGGTATATTTGTAGCAATAGCCAAAAATACATAGTATGGGTCAAAATTATAAATTTTTCTTTCATGCCAAAAATCATTAGGATATTAAGTAAAGATCATGTTCCATGAAGATATTTTGTAAATGTCCTACCGTAAATATATCAAAACTTCATTTTTGATTAGTAATATGCATTGCTAAGAACTTCATTTGGACAACTTTAAAGCTGATTTTCTCAATATTTAGATTTTTTTGCACCCTCAGATTCCAGATTTTCAGTTGCATACCTCATTTTTAGCATGGTAAATATCCATAAACATGCCATTATACACTGCAAAATCTTTGTTGTTGTTGTAATTAAAACAAAGATTATTGGAGTATGATTTACAAGACAATACAATTTCAGTCTTTCTACTTCAATATTTCATGTTTCTCTGTAATTATTTGTCAAATTTACCAGCAATTTCTGTGTGAAAATAGTTTTTCCAGTGTACCACAAAACACTGTAGCGGTACTACGGTAGAGTGATATTAGAACACGGTGATACTATAGTATTTTAAAATACATCATGGCACTAAAAAACTAATTTTTTTGGAAGGTAAACTTTATTACCATGGCACCTGTACTTCCTCTCGTGAATATTTGTGACCCTGGAGCACAAAACCAGTCATAAACAGCACAGGTATATTTATAGAAATAGCCAAAAATACATAGTATGGGTCAAAATTATAAATTTTTCTTTCATGCCAAAAATCATTAGGATATTAAGTAAAGATCATGTTCCATGAAGATATTTTGTAAATGTCCTACCGTAAATATATCAAAACTTCATTTTTGATTAGTAATATGCATTGCTAAGAACTTCATTTGGACAACTTTAAAGCTGATTTTCTCAATATTTAGATTTTTTTGCACCCTCAGATTCCAGATTTTCAAATAGTTGTATCTCATCCGAATGTTGTCCTATCCTAACAAACCATGCATCACTGGAAAGCATATTCAGCTTTTGTGTGATGCATAAATCTCAATCTCTAAAAATGGACCCTCCTGACTGGTTTTGTGGTCCAGGGTCATCACATTTCTGAAGTGTGAATCTGAGTTTACCCAGACAGGCGCCGCTGACCAGCGCAGAGGCCGTGAGAGCGCCCGCCGACGCGCCGTAAATGTGACGCGCGTTGTCCACCAGAAACGGCGCGTGCTCCTGCAGACAGCTGGCCACTCCGATGTGATAAATCCCCAGAAACCCACAGCCTGCGAAAGAGATATTCCACGGAGAGTCTAGGGGGAACATGTCGATGTCTTCTCGAAAATCTTCAGATAACGTCAATAGATCCTTCTGGATGTAACGTACAGAGTTACTTTCGTTTACTTTCGTCTTTCACGCGCCTGATGCATCGCGGACGATCCACACAGTGAACTCCTAACGTTTATAACGACCTAAACACTAACGTCCTGCGATTTAAAAGTCTCTAATGTGATGAACAATCACTGACGCAAGCATCTTGAAGCTCTGTCTTCTCCGCTAGCTTGTTAAATAACTTTAGGTACGGTGACCGGTGTTTTGACGCGCTTGTCTCTGTCGCAAAACAGGACACAAACGTAATCGGGGAGGGCGGGGCTTGTTGACATTGGGCGTGGCTGAAGCGATATTAGCCAATCAGAGGCTGCGCTCATGGACCCCATCCACTTTCTCCTGTCTCTCAGCTGTTCAGCGCGCTCATCAGCTGTTTTGTTATGGAAGCTTTTGTGAAGCTTTTAATGACAAGGTCATTTTGATTTTTAAATATCAAAATATTTTAAATATATAATATGTGACCACAAAACCAGTCATAGTGGTCAATTTTTTTAAACTGAGATGTATACATCAACTGAAAGCTGAATATGCTTTCCAGTGATGTATGGTTTGTTAGGATAGGAGGACAATATTTGGCTGAGATACAACTATTTGAAAATCTGGAATCTGAGGGTGCAAAAAACATCTAAATATTGATAAAATCGCCTTTAAAGTTGTCCAAATGAAGTCCTTTGCAATGCATATTACTAATCAAAAATGAAGTTCTGATATATTTACGGTAGGAAAATTTACAAAATATGTTCATGGAACATGATCTATCCTAATTATTTTTGGCATTAAAGAAAAATCGATCATTTTGACCCATACAATGTATTGTTGGCTATTTCTATAAATATAGGCTAATATAGGTGCTACTTATGACTGGTTTTGTGGACCAGGGTCACATATAACATTTAAATATCTATATTTTTGCACGATTGTTTGAATTTTGCTATTAAATGCCCAATAATAAATTAAGTACAGATATGTATTTTTTTCTTTCAATAGTATTTAATATATCAAAAATGTATCAGTGTCAATAAACAGCAGGTTTCCTGCAGTTTGACCACTAGTCCCTATACTGTATGTTATCTGAATGGTGTTTTTCACCTTTGTACAGTGTTTTACAACATATCTTACCAGGGATCCTCCCAAATGACATGGTTTTAAAAATATGTCCTCTCTGGGGACTGTAGAGGACAGGATACTCTGCTGTGTACTGTTTTGCTTGCAGTGTTCTTCTGATGTGTTTAAGTGCAGTTGTGTCAGGATTGCTTGTGTGCATGCACTCATGGGACACGGGAACATTCTCCCATAAAAATGTGTTTTGATTTTTTTTGGATGTCGAAGAGTTCAGAGTTCACAGGGCCAACACTACAAATGAACAAAATAATGTTTTCATCCCATCCAACCACGATTCCACAAATCGATTTTCTGGGCATCTTTCCTTAAATTCTTTCCATGCCCGCCAGCGCACATTGCAGTTTGTACAAAAACACATTTGTCATGGTTATATATAAAAGCTGTTTATAAAGTTATGTTATATGATTTACAAATATTTACAAACTGAATCTCAGTGATATCATTTATGTTGCACTGTGAACTTTTGCTATTAAAAATGACTTGTAGAATAAATTAATGTTGTGAGTTTATGTTTATAAGTGACATGAACAGCATTACAACTTCATATAGTTCACTGTGACTGGTCAGCATTTATTTTTGGGTTTTCACAATTTATTATTTTCTTTTTGCCTCCACCTCTTCACTTTAAATGGTCCTGCTGTGTGAAAAATACATTTCTGACAAGGTTCTCTCAAAGTTATGAACAAACGTTATTCCAGTAACATTAATAGCATTCATTCGAAGTTATTTTTCCTCAAAATATAAAAGAAAACCTTAAAATGTTAGCACAATAACTTACATTGTAACATTACATTATTTAAACATCATGGAATGTTTTTCTGAAAAGTTTTAGCTGGACATTTGTACAGGGCCGGATCATCAGTGGTGCCCCGGGCCCCTGAAATCACAGATTTGGGTCCCCCTCACTCAGTTGAAATGACGGCCCAGGGAAGCAGTATTTCAGCTGGGCCCTCCCTCTGGTCTGGTGCCCGGTAAGCCTGTGTGTTAATACAGCCAAGCATTTCTCTATCATTTTTTAAAATGTTACAAAAGTAATGTTCTCATGACGTTTGCAAAATGATTCTTTTTAAAAAAGCCTGGACATTTTGAATGTTCAGAGAACATTCAGAAATAGTATTTTCATATCTGGGAACATTAGCAAAATGTTCTTCGAACATATTTTTCTTTGTTGGAAGTCTCTCAACTAATATGAGCTAACAAGAACTGCATGCATGCATAATAAATGAAACGAAATCTATCTATCTAACGAAACGTCTGATTGTCGATTGCTCTGTTTAAAAATTTAAATAAATTACAAGTCATTAAAAGGATACAGCGAGTGCGGATCCCTTACTTTGAAATATAATATGCATAGATAATAGATTTTCATAATTATCATTATATAGGCCTAATATATAATGGGCCTAATATTAATTAACAGTATATAGGCATACACACACACACACACACATGTATGTGTGTAATTATGTACAAGACTGAAACTGCATGCAAACCATTATAAATGTACTTCTTTGCTGTCACTGTGTCTTTAAGAAATCTCCTCCCGCCTTTTGGTCAAAGTTCCGCGGTGAGTGTCAACACGAAACATGTGTGTGAAACACGGAAGTAAACTTATTATATTTAGCACATGTAAACGCATCAAATAAACATGACATTTTGCTTTTGTAAAAGATAGTTTTATAGAATGCGCGAGACCGGATATTGCCTTAAACGTTAGACACGACACGTCCATCAAGAATTACGCGCCCAAACTCCAGTTTTGTAAGTGTTTATCTCCGAGTTAAGTGATCATTCAGTCAGTTAGTTACTTATTAACATGATATATAACTTATTATTCTGTATAAAGGTGCAGTGAAGTCTTTTCCCAGCACTCGTAAACGTTGTTACACACTTGAATGCAGCTGTGATTTGGTTTCAGCCACAACGGAATGAATGAGTATGGTGCATTTACAGTGATTTACCATGGTAACTGTGGTTACCTCAAAAATAGTGCAGTTAGTCATTAAGTGATAAATTCAAATTTGACAAAAAAACTAAAGTTAGTAAAGGCAGTAAAAAAAAAAAAAATATATATATATATACCTGTATATATTGTATCTAGTATATATTACTGCCATTTAAATATATTAAAATATTAATTTATTAAATATGCAATAATATGCTGTCATTTAATTATGCGCACACACACACACAATTATGTACAGTATACATATGCATGTGTAGATAACATTTAAATGGCAGAAATTTGTTTGCATTATTTTATTGGAAATATTAGATGTTAGAAATATTAGAATTTTATGTAAATATATTTAATTATAGTTATTTTATACATTTAGTTATATTTAATTCTTATTTAATATTTTATATAAATATATATATGTATGTATATATATATATATATATATATATATATATATATATATATATATACAATTTGTTTAATATTAATAGATTTTTTAAAAGGTAATTATGCATTGACAAAACACATTTATTTATTATTTTTCAGTAGTGGTGATGCTCAAGTGCTGATCTTCAGTTTTACTCACTGTGCAGTTCATCGTTACGTTTTTATTGATTGTGAGCTTTTCCAATTAACACCTTTCTTTCTCTCTGAAGGATGTTTTGTCTCTCCAGTGCAGGGGCTTGTCTGAACATGGCCGCCCAGTCTAGAGATGTGACCCCACCGCGGTGATGGAAAGATGAAGACGGAGGTGCCAGATTCATCTCTCCTTGATTCTTCTCACTATATGTTGTTTGTAGGAGGAGCTGAAGAAAAGAAAAAAAGGAATAGATGGAGAGAGAGGAGAATAAACAGGCAGAGGAGAAAGTGTGGCTGGCCACATCTGATAGAGAAAGAGATGAAGAAGGACATATTGATGGTTTTTCAGCTGAAAGAGGAGCGATGATGGGGACGGAAGGGGGTCTGGTTTTACCAGGTTTCTTTGGGAACGCACAGTTGGAGGAAAGTCCACCATTAGGACTCTCTCTTTCCTCGGACCATGCGGACACCTGGGCTCCGTCCATCTTGACGTCCTCTTCCTCCTCTCTGCCCTGTCTCTCTCCTCCTCTTCGTCCGTCGGTGGGGCTGGATGGTGTGCTGGCAGAGGAGCGGCTGGTTCTGGACGTGTATCGGGGCGGAGGAGAGGTTCTCCCTGTGTTCTGGGAGTGTGTTCAGGAGCGGATGAGAGGCCTGCAGTACCTCAGACTAGGATCAGAGGACGAGGGGGTGCTAGAGAGAGCGCTGGGTGTCCTGCCCCGACTCACACAACTGCGCTCTCTGACTATCAGAGGTACACAAACAAACCCTAACATTCACAAACATACACACATACATTGAGAGATAGAGATCTATCTGTCTCTCTATCTCTCTATCTCTCTCTCTATCTATCTATCTATCTATCTATCTATCTATCTAGGAGCTCCACTGCTGATGGTGCGGGTGTTGGATGTGAGTTTTCCCAGCCTCACTAGCTGCTGCCTGTCTGTCAGGAAGCTGTTGATCCACTGACAGACGGAGGTGGGCACGGAGAGAGGTTTTTTCAAACCTGCAGTAGAACTCGTTTAGATCGTCTGCCAGTTGTTGATTCTCCACAGTGCTGGGGGATGGGTGTCTTGTAGTTGGTGATTTCTTTCAGACTTTTCCACACTGATGCGGAGTCACTGGAAGAGAATTGAATCCTTATTTTTTCAGAATACTTTCTCTTTGCCACTCTGATCTCCTTTTCCAGTGTGTATTTATCCTGTTTATACAAGACATTTTCCCCCGTCTCTGTGAGCTCGTCCAGATCGGTGGCAGATATCTATCTATCTATCTATCTATATATATCTTAATATGATAATATTAATCTGATAATATTATAATGAATAATAATAATAATATTAGTCTGTCTAACCTTTTTCTTGAGTTTATATTGTCTCTCTGTTTTGTTTCTGTCTCAAGGACACCGTTTCCATGACCCTCAGGGTGACCCTCTTCCCGGCCTGCTCTCCTCTCTCCCTGACTCCGTCTCCTCTCTGTCTCTCCTCGTTCACCTTGATCTCTCCTTCAACCGTCTCTCCTCTCTTCCTCCCTGTCTCCTGTCTCTCTCTCATCTCTCGGATCTCCTGCTGTGTCATAACCGGCTGACGGGTCTGCCGGAGGGTCTGAGAGCGCTGGTGTCCCTGCGGCGGGTGAGTCTGATGGGGAACAGGCTGGTGGATCTGCCCCGGAGTGTGGGCCTCCTCTGCAGGCTGGAGGAGCTGGACATGTCCTTCAACCAGCTGGAGAGACTTCCAGATGAACTCGGCCAACTACAGGACTTACAAAAACTAGAGCTGTCAAATAACAGGCTCAGATCACTGCCAGAGACTCTGGGTGAGGAGCACACACACACACACACACACACACACACACACACACACACACACACAGAAACATGTTGGGTTTTCATGTTTCATGGGGACTTTCCATTGATATAATATTTTATATCTGGTAAAAATTTATTTTCTGTCTCCTAACCTTAATCCTATCCCTCAAAGAAAACTGCATTTTAACATTTAAATAAAAACATAATTTAGTATGATTTATAAGCTGTTTTTCCTTTTCCTTCATTACCAAATAAATGTTCCCACAAGGTTAAAATATTCAGGTTTTAAAATACAGGTTTTACCTGGACCCGAGGACATTAGGAGTTAGGACATATGATAGACTTTATTTGTTTTATATAAAGCAAATTATAAATAATACAGACTAACCATTTGTTTACCTACATTAGTTTTATTCCTTGTTAAGATCTAAGGCTATTTTCATGGCAAGAATTGTAAAAAATAAATGATAATAAAAAATAGGTCAATAAATTAATAAACATATTTGTTAATAATTTTAACAGTATTTAATATTTACCGTATTGACCCGAATATAAGACGATGTTTTTTTCTTGGAAAAATTTAAATAGGAAAAATATGCAATATGAAAATAATTGAAGACAAAATGTGTTTTACTGAGAAAAAACAAGATTTGGTTTTTAAAAAGCCTTTTTCCAAAAGGTACATCTGGAAAAAGGGGGGTCGTCTTATATTTGGGCCAATACGGTAATAGCATATAAGGGTATTTTCATGGCAAGAAGAGTAAATTAAAAGAGTAAATAATTAATAAACATTTTTGATAATAATATTTAATAATTACTTTTATATTTATTCATAAACAAGGTAGATAAGGGATAAACAAACATGATACAAATAATTAATATACAAAAAAATAAATTAGAATAAAACAAAATATTGATTTGATGTACAGTATGAATTGTTTTTCCAAATGAGGATGTTCCTAGATGTCTGCAAATGGAAGTTTTGGCAGATTTAGTTCATTTCTGGAGACAATTTTATCCTTAAACTGTAGTGTAATTGCCAATATGTCCTGATGAGTCCCAAACAACACCAAATAACCGTCTGCTGCCTTACATGATGCTATCTTGGTGTCAAAAATTGTTTTATACTATGTCAACGACTGTTTCTAAATGAGATTTCAGCGTTTAAAAGGAAAATCTAGTATTTGTGACATGGAAGTTGAACTGTCTGATGGCTCGTTCTCTCTCTCAGGGTCTCTCCGCTCGCTGAGACAGCTAGTAATCCAGAGTAATGATCTGAGGAGTGTTCCTGAATGTTTGCGCTCCCTCCCGCTGCTCGACAAACTGGACTTGAGGAATAACCCGCTGGGTCGACCGCTGACGCCCCCACTGATCGCCCACGTGACCCCAGGTCACTGTCAGCTCTCACTGATTAGTCTAGCTTATGTTACATTATTATAATGAAATGTTTATCAAACAAATATGACCTTTAACAAGCATATGACTATTATGACAGACTAGACAGACATTCATATGACTATTACGCTTTTATTACATAATGTATTCTGGATGGCATTTTTTTGCATTGGTTTATGATTAAACCTGAACAAACTAAGCCTGTTTGATCCCATTGACACTGTTTGCGCTTTATAGTTCTGGAAGAATCTGAGATCCCAGAGCTGCACCTCGGATTTCATCAACACAGGTGAACTGAGCTTACCTTCATTTATCATTCAAAAGTTTGGGGCGGTTTTAATGTTTTTGAAAGACGTCTCTTATCGTCACCAAGGCTGCATTTATTTGTGCAGAAATACAGTAAAAACAACACTAATATTGTGAAATATTATTACAATTTAAAGTAAACGTTTTCTATTGTAATATATTGTAAAATGTAATTTATTTCTGTGATGCAAAGCTGTATGTTCAGCATCATTACTCTAGGCTTCAGTGTCACATGATCCTTCAGAAATCATTTTAATATGCTGATTTGCTGCTCAAGAAACATATGCTTCATATTTTTCTGGAAGCCATGATAATTTTTTATCTTCTTTGATCAAATCTTTTGTAACTTTATAAACGTCTTTAGTGTCACTTTTAAACATTTGAATGTGTCCTTGCTGAATAAAAGTATTAATTACTTTAAAAATGTTACATACTACTTAAAAAAAAAAAAATAGTATGCAGTGTTAAAAAAAATTGTATTTTAAAAATAGTATGCAGTATACTTTCTATAATGCTAGTTCCAAACTCTTCACTGTCCATCAGTTTTCACGTATCACCTGCTGGCTGTCACGTGTACCTTCCTGGAGGGGCGGAGCTGTTGTTTCCACGGAGATGCGTAAATGCAGTGATTAATACATAATTAAATAATATTTACTGTATTTTTTGTAATAATTATAATAATATTTCCTGTGTCACTCTTTTAGCCGGTAGAGGTGTGTATTCCATATCACAAAGCACGGAAAGGTGATGCTGCTGTTCGCAGGTTTGATGGTCGGTCTTGGACGACACTACCCACCCTGACCAGAAGGGGAAATGAGAAACACAGCTGCAGGCCAGGGGGACGCCCAGTGCGGGTGAGCGAATCAGATCCCTCTCTGCCCAAAACCTGTAAGCCGTCTTGAGAGCATTAATGCACACATATATATTATCATCTGTGTGTTTGCAGTTGGCCTGCTGCAGTGTGTCACAGTTCTCGTGGTTTGTGGCCGTCTCGCGCCCTTTCCTGGACAGTTGCTCTGTGTCTCCAGACGGGGCGCTGCTGGTGTCTCAATTTGACCCGGGGATTAAACTTACTCTCCCTCCAGAGTGCACAACAGAGACACGTACGGTCACAATGCAGGTCTGTACATGAATGTACTAATCTATACTAATATAATCTATAGATTAGCTTTTAATAATGAATAAATTAATTGTAATAATAAGATAGCTTTTTTAATGTTTTGATAGTAATACAACATGATAATTACTTTTATCAAAAACAGCATTCTACCTTAAGCTCTAATTTATTTAGTAAAATTAATTAATGTTGAAATGTACAGTAGAATGTATGAATAACTGTTCAATATTTTTAAAACCTATAATGTTATAAAGTGATTTTTGATATACCATTATAGTTTTTGTAAGTTTTTAGATTTTTTTTAGATTCAAATAAGTTTTTTATATTTTATTTTATTTCAGCTAATGTTTTTTTAGTGCTGTCTAACGATTAATCACGATTAATCGCATCCAAAATAAACGTTTTTGTTTACATAATATATGCATGTGCACTGTGTATACAGTATTTATTATCTATATATAAATACACACACATACAGTATATATATAGAAAATATTTACATGTATATTAATTTATATATTTATATTCTTATATTATATATAAATATATATAATATATAAACATAACATATTTTTCTTAAATATATACATGCATGTGTTTGTATTTATATACAGTATACATAATAAGTACACACAATACACTCACATATATTATGTAAACAAAAACGTTTATTTTGGATGCGATTAATCGCGATTAATCATTTGACAGCACTAGTTTTTTTTATTTCAAGTAATACATTTTTTATGGATTTAGTTAACTATAATAACCCTGGTTTGAAGTGGAGGAATGGCCCCTACTTCTAATAATGAACTTCTGATCAGACTGATGCTAATAATCGAAATAATTTTATAAAAATAAAAAAAGAAACACTAAATATTAGCCGATACTGTTACAATCACAAATCGTTCAGCCTTTTGTGTTTATGTATTCTGTTGTATTTCTATTCTAATCCTGTTTTTTACCTTAGGTCCTGCAGGTGGCGCTGTCTGAAGTGCAGGAACTGACCGGAGACCCTCATGCGAGTGCCAGCCCACTGTTGTGCCTCTCTCAAACTCCCAGCATGCACTTCCTTCAGCCAATCAGAGTGCAGATTCCTCTTCCACCTGGAGTGACTGGTATTGCATCACATTCACTCTTCACTTCTTTCTAGGAAACGGTTTAATTGTTAAACCGAGCAGATTGTAAGCTTATTAGAGCCTCGTTCATGCCTGAGAGTTCACAGACATTAATGCTGTTTAAAACAAATGAGGAATGTGTACAATGATGTCTTCATCTTCAACACTGTCGTTTTAGCATTTAAAACCAAAGAAACTTCTTTTTGTCAGATGTTGAACTTTGTTATCTTTGTTATTTTATGTAATGCAGGGATTCCCAAACTTTTTTGTCAGCTGAACATTTTTGTTTAAATTACCCCAAGATTTTAAGTTAATTTTCAATATTTTAAAAGCACATTTGCATGTTTTCTGAAGTTGATTAATGGTCACATGAAGTGAACGTAAATAGAAAAATAGTTTTAGAGTTTTATATATAGAGTTTGATTTTGATTTTGTAGCAGGACTAAAGTGGACTCAAACCTCTTTTTAATTGTAATAGTGTTTCAGTTCCCATTATATTCTCACATTATGGGATTTTAAGAACCCAATCAAACTGAATAATAATCAAAATATTAGTAATAATTATTATTATGTTTAACTCTAATTACAAAAATGAATATTTGATCATAATTGTAATTTTAATTTTAAAATTACTTTTATAATACTCTTCATTTTTAGCTTTTATTTTGGCAAAATACTAGTGTACTGCATATTGCACAGTATATACTTTTTACTGCCATTTTTTAAATAAATATTTAAAAAAAATATTATGTGAAACTGTATATTTTTTAAATAATTTAAATTATGTAATGTAGCAATTTAAAATCACTACATCATATGCTTAATTTAGCAAACGGTGTCCAATTAAAATAATGCAGTTGATATTGTTTGTCATAATTTATTGTCTAAGGGCCTAATTACACACATTTTCGCTGATCGGATATTTATCTGGTTTGTTAAAATAGTTCCATTTACTAGTGCTGTCAAACGATTAATCGCAATTAATTGCATCCAAAATAAAAGTTTTTGTTTACATAATATATGTGTGTGTACTGTGTATATTTATTATGTATATATAAAGATACACACATACAGCACATATTTTGAAAATATTTACATGTATATATTTTTATTAAAGGGGTCCTATTATGCTTTTTCACTTATTTAATTTTAGTCAGTGTGTAGTGTGTATGTTTGGGCATTAAAAAGATCTAGAAAGTTACAAATCTCAAAGTCCACTCCAAAGGGAGATATTTAGTTTAAAAAAAAAATCAATTTTCAAGAACTACAGCAAACGGCTCGTTTGGACTACAGCGTTTGGTTTCCGGGCTTTATGATATCACAAAGCGGTGACACACCCCGCTCTGCCCGTTTTGTGTGTTTCTCTTATTGCTTCATACGTTTGTTATATTTGACTGTAAGTGCCCTGCGAAGTGGACATTACCGGATATTCCTCCATGATTCCAGGTTGAAGGGAGCGTATATGTTCCATACAAAGGGCATTTAAGTGTGCGAGACACTTAATGTCCCACTTCACGCTTCTCTAGTAAGTTTCGTTTGTGTGTGAAGACGCTGCAAGCAGCGGCGTAGCAGGGCAAATCTGTAAATGAATATTCCGAAGTGAAGTAAACTTCAACGGATTTCCCCTTCTCAGGGAGTAGGGAGCAATGAACACTGTGTAGGGACCGTGTCAATCGGAACACAGTTCATGCACGGAGCTCACTTCTAACGAGATGATGATCTGAATCAGGTGTGTTAACAAAGAGAGACGTGCAAAACATGCAGAGCGGGGGTACGCGAGGACTGGAATTGAGAACCGCTGGTCTAGAACAATTCTTACAAATATGACACGATGTAGCTGGGCGCCGTGGACAGACGCCGAACAGCGCCGCCGGTGTGCTACACTCATAGAAAATAATGTGTTCGAATTTAAAAATTTATTAAATATACGAATCTAACCTTTGCAAACCTACCTAAAATGCAAAAACTGAAAAAGTGTATTTGATTTTCGTTAACTTTATTTCCGTGAAAATAGCTGCAGTTGTTGTGCAATAGAACATTCAAAACAGGCTCATTAAAACACAAACGCACA